GTTTAAGTCCTCTAGTCAGTGGATAAGGCTGTGAGGGGAAGGACTGCTCCAGTTTTCAGAGCGAAGAACCAAAATTTACAGAAAACTTAAAACTAAATTTCCGGACTGGAAAACTGTCGCAATATGCGTTTTCGCATTTGCATATATGCTAGAATGCATAAAAACGACTGCGTTTCATGCGAAAAACTGATAATCATGCACCTGGAGGTCCGTAAGGTCCTACAATGCAACACCTTCATCCTAACCGACGCCTGCAAAACAAGGTATCGCGAAGTAAATCTGGTATAAGGAAGAGGGAAAGCAGCGTTTCGTAATTTTGTCCAGGACAAGTGCCGAACTTAAATTAGCATAAAAACTGGCTCTTTTCAAAACTAAGCAATATCTACAACGAACTGATTTCCAGCGCGTATGCAGTACAGTCTATGGAGAGCAAAACACAGGATTGACAGAGCAGCGCAGTTCCAGAAGCACGTTTGGAGTGTTGTACTAGCAAATATGCAAATCCTGCGCAAACAGGAACTCACTGAATTAAGACGCCGTCTGCAATGTTTAGCGAGCATTTCGACGAGGTGCACTTTACCCGTAGCTTCGGATACCAATACAGCAACAAACGAAAAATACCAAACGAAAAGACCGTAAACAACCACGTTAGCACCTGAAATGCTACTTTCTGCTCAAAACTACTTGAATCAGCCGCTGAAACATAGTGATATATTCCATTCAGGCAATTTTTTCAACCCTTTTAGCATTGCTCTATCGCCTGATCGACAGCCGGTTGGCGATCCTGGCGTTCGTGATGAACACCAGCGCGCACAAAAAAAAAATTGACATTTTCTTGTTTTTTTTATTTTTTATAATTTTTAGTAAATTCAAGAAACCAGTCCTCTCAGACATTTATTTTACATTATCCTAAACAGATGTATCAAGAATACAACACCGTACTGATTTGAGGTGCATTTCTGGTGATGAATAAGAATGTAAACGTTTTAATAATTCGAAACATTTCTATCCATCCAATTATTTTTTATATACATTTCTGTATTTTACATGTATCACTATTAATATCTTAATCAACAGCTGATTGGGCGAATTTTTGGCTTCAATGAATAATAAGGAGCGAAAGCGATACCGCTTGACTGGGATCGTTCAAGCCCTAGTTGAATCATGCATTTGAAGAAAGTCCAAAAAATAAAGACTTCCGAAAACCACCAGCAACGAACACAGTCTATCGGTGGTACAAGAAATCGAGTACTTAAACGGCTAAAAGGGCTGGAAGAATAGACGACAACGCGTAAATTGGCAGACGAAAATAAACGCCATCCCCGAGATTTTGCAAAACCACGGGGATTTTGTGAAGCCACAAATTAACAGTTTATTACAAAAGGAGAATTTGCGCGAGAGTTTCGCGAAAAAGTAATGCAACTATTTAAGAAAAGCACAAAAAAACGTACCATTTTGACCCGATTAACTTTGAAACCCCAAAGATACAAACTTTCATCACCAACAGTGATGCGTGCACTGTGAGCTGTCTGCATAAACATTGCCATGAATATGGCCTTTCGCCCAGCTTAGTCTGAAATTTGGTACCACATATAGCGCTGATCACATAAAATCCGCGAGAAAGTTGTTACTGCGTGAGGAAGACTACACTTTCAGATGCATCAAAAATCATGTTGCATTCGTTTCTGACTCCACGGAGATGAGTTCGATGAGGAGGAGGAGGAAGTAGGCCTAATCGGAAACTCATAAGGCTTAGTCAAGAACTCCTGCCAAAAATGCCTACTTAAACCGAGCGACTTCCGTTATCGTTCAACGTAATTTAACAAAATTTCTTCCAGCTTATGTGCCTGCTTAATCGATCTTACCCAGGACCTGCGGGGGCGCTGAGTGCTCTTTTTTTCATCTCATCAATAAACGCCGGTAAAAGTCTCACAGATTTCACGGGCGTTACTCGTTCAGCCTACAGATCTCCTCATTGTTTCCGTGGTGAAAGTTCACGCAAAGCCTCATCCCAAGCCTCAGTCCGCAAATAAAATTACTGCAGTGGGGCCGGGGAAAAAAAGCGTACCATTTGCATACATATAAAAATAGAATGTACCAATCAATCCACACATGAGCATATCTTTCGAAATGTGATTGTGCAGAAGTTAGTGAAAGTATTTAAGGGGTAATTCTTGGTCACTAGTACACGAAAGTTAGCCTATTTCCTGGGAACTATGTGTGTTTATTTATCAAAAATAGTTGGCGCTCGTCTCCAGAACACTGATTCGTGTACATAAAAGTGTACCTTGATTAATAAGAGAAGGGACAAGAATCGAGTAGCACTGGCGTTTGAACAGAAACGATAATAAAAGTGAGCAAAGGGCTGGACAATCGATGACCACCACCAACTGCATGGAAATAATGCAG